TGTAAAAAGGGCAGGAATATAACTACCCTAATGGACTTAAAACCTTTAGTTTGAGGCTGTTTAAAATAACATCCTTTTTTTTTTCTCCTCTTCACTAGAAGTTTTTAAGAAAGGAAGAGTGTCAGGTCACAGAATGATCTTTGTGTGTGTGGCCTGATGTGGGAGAAGTTGAGAAGAAAACACAGATAAAATTGCTTGAGTACTAAATTAAATCAAAGGTCAAAAAAGGATGAAAAATAAAAATGTGGCATGGATATCCTTTAGTTAAGCACTTTGGGGAAAACCCTGCTTTATTTTACTTGGAGACCAGATTTCTTCCTACAGTCCAGAAATCTTGAAGTTCCCACTGTCCTGTGGGCAGGGCGTAGCTTTAATTTTACAGCAGGCTTAGTTACTTGGTAGAATTCACATGGCAACGTAAGTGATGCAATGCAAGTCAGAGGGATGCTGAGGGCTCTAAGATGTTCCTTTCTGTCAGTAGGAAGATCAAGGTGAGCCACAAGGTGAGTCACTCTCTGCAGTTTTTTAAGTGACCCTGCTCTGAGTGCATGCAGAGCAGATTCAGCATCATTAGCATGGACTAGATCCACAGAATGGGATATATGTCCTCAGTTTAACTTCCAAGGGGACCTAAATGCTCGTGTTTCCTCTCTGAAGGATTGAAGAGCATTTTTCAGGATCAGATTCTTTCTCTGGAAGGCAGTCAAAGCAAATTGAACTGCAGCTCAACCAAACAGGACGATGCACAGCTCAGGGGCTCAGGTTCAATTCGTGCGTAGGAAGCCAGAAAGCAGCCTGATACAGAGTAAAGCCTGCTGCTTCTGTTGCCAGGGAGTCTACCACATTATGTGTAAGATGTTTATTTTATTTTATTTCTTTCAGATAAAATAGATGGAGTTTGACCAGTGGTTTTTGAGGGGCAGAGTATGAATGAGCGGCAGTAGGAGGCAAACTCTCCAAAGGCCTGTAAAGGAGAGCACAGAAAGAAATAGATGCAACCAAATTCTTAGTCCAGCTAATTAGCTGACAGTAAGAGGTGGAGATCTATATATAAAGTTTTATGAGGTAGGACCTGAATCTTGTCCTACTTGTATGTAGGGAAATCAGTAACAGTTTGTCTCCAATGTCAAATGAAAAAAAATTAGGATAATGCAGCAAAAACAGGAGGAAACCTTGCAACTTTGAATGTGGTAATCTAGTTTCTTCTCAGAATAAAGAGAATCAATGCTAATACCGTAAATGTTATATTTAAATCATAGCCTCTCAGTACATTCAGCCACTAATAGTAAATTCTGGATTCTTTCCTGAAATCATCAGTTCATGCTGTGGCATATGGATGCCTTTTTTAACTTTTATCAGCTCCTTCAGCTGCACCTCCATGGCTTTGCAGAGCTATCTGAGCTAGCTTAGGCACAGCATGTAGGTATTCTCTAAGCCTCTGTTATCATCAGCCTATTATCTGTAGAAAAATGATGTTTCCTTAATTCATACACTTCTCTGCTTCATGGGGACATATGGAGAAAAGCATTAAAGAACTTATTATCGCTCATAATCTCGAGATTTATTTTATGTTTTACATAGGTCAGCACTAGCATATTGCTTCTCCATGTATCCCTTATTAAAATAACTATCAGGAAACAAAAATAACCAGATTCTCACTTCAGTACTCTGGACTTTGGGGTTGGAGATCTGTTGCTTTTACAGTGTTGAATTATAAGCCAGCTTTTGCATCTCCTGAAGATGAGCGTGATCCAACATCACCAACAGACACAGTCAATCAGTTTGAAGTTACATTTAACATATTTTGTGGTGGGATATCTATTACCTGTATTTAGTAGCCTGGTGGTGTATTTTGAGGTGCATTCACAGTCAGAAGTTTCTGCTGATTGGCTCCTTTTATGCTAGAGTCCCACATGCTTTTTGTTACAGACAGCCCACCATCCTAAACAGTTTGTCATCTACTAAAGCAAAACGAGGAGAGTTCAAGAGGACATAAGTGAAACTACTGCCTGTTTTATCAATGGGTAATTTCCTCAAATCGCAAAGGAAGTCTCAAGGAAAGCCAAGGATTAAAATTGTCTCTTGAGTTTTGATCTAATCCTTAAATGCAAAAGCATCCTTCCTGCAGTCAAGTAGGCAAAGTTCCAGTTCAGTTCAGTGGGTAGTATAGACATGGGTCTATAGCTTAAATTATGTACATCTTTGTTCTTTTCATCATTCTTGAAAAGCTTTTTTTTTTTTTTTTTTTAGAGGAGTCAGTACAGACAAAGCGCTGCCTTTTTGCTCAATGATAATGTCCCTTTGACCTTTTGCAATGTTCCTATTCCTCTGTTGCACAAACAGTCTGGCAGGCTGTTACTCCTCCTGTCCTGAGTAATGTGGTTTACTGATGTTCTTTCCAAGTATTTTATTTTTAGGTTATAACTTTAGTTTTGCTATGTGGAACTAATTAAACTTTTGTTCATTAGTTTTCTTTTATCTTTTACATGTGACTTTTGAGAAGGGAAAGCCAAAGGGGGGAATAAAAGCAGCCTTCAAATATGTTAAAAAAATGGTTGCAAGAATTTGCGTAATAAATTATTCTCTGTGTCCATCTGGGACAGCACAAGGGGTAATGGCCCTAAATTGCAGCAAGGGAGATTTACTTTAAGCATTAGCCAAAATCATCTAACCAGGACAGTTAAGGGCAGAAATTAATTGCCTGGGGAGGCTGTGAAATCTCCATTACTGGAGTTTCACAGGAACCGTCTGA